AAGCAATTCTGGTATCTTTGCCTCTATCAAAAGTGGGAAAATGAAAGAGAGACAAAGAGAAAGTGAATTCCACCAGGCAGGGATTTTTGTCTGCTGAGTTCACCAATGAAATCCCCAGGGCCTGGGACAGTACCTGCACATGGCAGGTGCTCAGTAGCTATTTATTGATTGATTGACTGAATAGGTGGGTGGTGAGGACCTGCTTCTCTGTGGAAATTGCCACTTTACTCATTTTTCTTGCTGCTTCTGGCCTCTGTGGGTATTTGTGTTTGGGACTCTTGACTGGGTTTGCCTTTCCGGGGAGGTGGCAGTGGAGCAGGAGCGTTACCTTCCTCAGTCAGCGTGTGGCTTGCTGAGATGTCCTCATCAGCATCGGTGACTACCACTGAGTAGGTGCCCAGATCCTCAAGGCCGGGATCTTTCAGGATGACCTTGGACCTGGCAGAGAGAGGAGAGTGGAGGCTCTGAGAGGAGCTCCTTGGCCTTTTGCAATGGAGGCCTGGGAGCTGGAGAATCTTTTGGCTCTGGAGGCCCTGCAACCCACCCCAGACCCTGGCCAAGCCAGGAAGCAGGGGCAGCTGCCTCCTTGCACCCCCTCCTGGTGGGTCCCCTCTGGCCTGGCATCTTCAGTGCCCCCATTAGCCAGCTGTCTGGCACAAGCTCTGCTCACTGCCTGTACTGCCCTGTTTTCCTCCAGGGCTGGAGGTGTCAACTCTATCTCCTGCTGGACAGAGCCGAGGCCACGAGCTGCTGGGGGAGGAGGAGTAAGCTCTGCTCACTGCCTGTACTGCCCTGTTTTCCTCCAGGGCTGGAGGCGTCAACTCTATCTCCTGCTGGACAGAGCCGAGGCCACGAGCTGCTGGGGGAGGAGGAGTAAGACATGGGGACACCTGACTGGGGCCTTTGTGGTCATCTGGTCCAACCCTTCATTTTACAGATGAGGAAGCTGAGCCCAGAGAACTTGCAAGAGCAAGCCCCTGGCACCCAGGCTACAAACTGAGTCCTGAGCATCTCTCTGGAGGCACCGAGGCAGAGGCACACACAGTTCCTTCCAGAAAAAGAATCTCCAGAAGACTGTGGCCATGTCAGCCCCTTCAGTGCACTCCCCCTCACCTCTCCCTAAGGTGGCGGTCTCATGCTCAGGGAGCGACCAGGCAGCTCCTTCCAACCCACCGCGGGGTCTCACCCTTGAGCTTTTGCCAACCCGTCTTTGGGGTCCTGTTGAGTAGTCGGGCCTCCTCCTCTCCCCTCACTTACTTGTTAAGTCCATCCTCGATCTGGACCCTCTGGGAGTCTGGCGGACCCTTGTAGTCTTTGGACCACTGAAACTCTGAGGAGTCGGGGGCCTCAGGGGCCTCAAAAGCCAAGTAGATAAAGCCCTCTTCATCCACACCAACCTCGATCTCCCGGGCATCTGAGGGAAAGATCCAAAGGAGGGCACCGGACTTTTATAAATAATAAGCCAGGTCAGCCCCTCCCCTGCTTAAACCCTCCAGGAATTGCCCCCTGCACTTGAATAAAATAATAAACCCAGACTCCTCGCGGTGGCCTCCAAGGCCTTGCATGATCTGGCTCCTTCTCACTCAAATGTCACCTCCTCAGAGAGGCCCTCCCTGACTGCCCTGGCTGAGGTAACCACACCCCACGATCAGCCTGTTTTATTTCCCTTATAGCACTTGTCGATATCTTAAGTCTCCTTCTTCACCTAGATGTTTACTTGTTCACTGTCCATCTGCTCCCCCCACCTCCCCTACGCTGGAGCAGGGACCCTCCTTTCTCATTAACTCCTGTATCTCCAGTGCAATGTGAGCATCGCCAAATATTTGATGAATGAACGAATAGTTAAAAGAACGGAAAGAGAACGTGCTTTATAGTTAGGAGAGCTGAGTGATTCTGTCATATACTAGCTGCGTGACCTCATCATTTAATGTCTCTGAGCTATAATAAAATCATCCAATGTGGGGACAGTGACCCCTTCCTCAGGGGCTTGTTGGAGGGCTGGGGAAGTGGGAGAACCTAGCAGAGCATCTGGCACGTAGCAGGAGGGACCTCAGGAGTTGTGACTGCAACACAGGCAAGGCCAGGTGTGGTATCTAAGATGGAGCTGGGGGTCGTTTTGAATATCTATAGAGTTGTATGCATTTATGAATATGGGATATGAAAGGAAGATCCCACCAAATCATGTGGAAAAGATATGCATCTATCTTGGGGTCCCACAGAAATGAATGGGGGTGGGGAAGGCGAGAGAAACAGGCAAGAAGGGAAGGGTAGAGCTGGAGGAAGTGAGGAGAGGCGACAAGGGCTGGCAGATCCTGTCCTTCTGCTGTGGACCCTCGTGCTTCCCCCAACCCCCTCTGAGTACTGAGCAGTGGCACCCCAGCTCCCACCGGCTCCCTCTGGCTCCCACTGGCCATTCCTACCTGGCTTGTCCTCCAGGAGCACTGGGTCAGTAGGCATGGACGGCTGTCCCAGACCAGCTGAATTCATGGCCTGTACCTGGAACACGTAACTCTTTCCAGGCTGCAAGTTGGACACCTGGGGGTGGGGACAGAGCAAGCACTGAGAACAGCAGATTCACCCTTCCTGAAATCCTGGCTGCAGGAACCCCGGGGTCTGGGGAACCTCCAGGAGGACACAGGCTGCCCTGCTGGGTGGGAACAGCCAAGGAGCACATCCCTGTCCTGAGTTCCAGACCCCGAGTTCAAACTTTTTAATGGGCCTGTCACCTGGATTACCTCCCAGGTATGTAGCACCTGGATCTCGACCTGCTGGAAGCTTATCTCATCATCCACCTCCCAGCAAGAAGACCCCTCCCTTCCTGTGTCCCTCATCTCTCTACATGATACTGCCGTCACCCACCGCCCCAGAAAGAGGCCAGCGGAGGGTCGCCTCTGACACCCTTTTCTTGAGCTCTCCCCATCCAACCACCAAGTTCCGCCCACTTTATTTCCCTAATGTTTCTGGAATGTGGCTGCTCCCCTCTGTGTCCCAGCCGTGGCCTTGATAGAAGCCTGATTTCTTGCTTGCACCTCGAATAGTCCACGTCTCTTTTTTTTTTTTTTAAGATGACCGGTAAGGGGATCTTAACCCCTGACTTGGTGTTGTCAGCACCACGCTCACCCAGTGAGCTAACCGGCCATCCCTATATGAGATCCAAACCTGGGGCCTTGGTGTCATCAGCACCACCTCGAATAGTCCGCGTCTCCTTTTTTTTTTTAAGATGACCGGTAAGGGGATCTTAACCCCTGACTTGGTGTTGTCAGCACCATGCTTGCACCTCGAATAGTCCACGTCTCTTTTTTTTTTTTTTAAGATGACCGGTAAGGGGATCTTAACCCCTGACTTGGTGTTGTCAGCACCACGCTCACCCAGTGAGCTAACCGGCCATCCCTATATGAGATCCAAACCTGGGGCCTTGGTGTCATCAGCACCGCACTCTCCCAAGTGAACCACGGGCCGGCCCTAGTCCAGGTCTCCTAAATGATGTTTCTGCCTCTGGACCCTTCTTCCCCAGTCTCTCCCTCCCCCTGCCAGTCTGATTATGCTTAAATCTTTTGGTGGCCTTTAGGGTCAAGCTCTGGTTTTGAGATTTAGTCCCTAAAGTCTTCCATTCTGGCCTTAGCTCCTGCCTTCATACTCCACTATGTCCCTGTCACTCCACGGCTCCCTCGGGGTCCCCACAAGCATCACGTCGTTTTGCGCCTCCCTGCCTTCGCCCTGGCCAAGCCCTTGGCCTGTAATGCCCTCCTCTTCGTCCTTGGCCAAGCTGACTCACACTTCACCACTCAGGTTCTGGCCCATGCCGGGATTCCAGGAAGCGTCTCTGACCTTTGTCCTTTGAGATCTCAGAATTCCTCGGATCCCCTCCCTCACAGCATTTATCACACAGTATTGTGATTGCCTATTACCCAGCGACTGTGACTTATTTAGCTTTTGATGTCTAGGACCTGGTCCAGACCTGGCACTAAGTAGGTGTCAAGAGGTGTTGAGTGAATGACTGAGTGAATGGCAGCCAGCCATCCACACGCAGAAACTGGTGCCAGGTCACTGAGGCTGTCCCACGATGGCCTGGGCCAACCTATATGCAGAGGTGGAGAGGCCATCCATCGCTTGGGGCTCTCTTGGGCTGCCCAGCACTGGCCAACTCGACAAAAAGGAGATTTAGACCCTAAAGTCTTCCATTCTGGCCTTAGCTCCTGCCTTCATACTCCACTATGTCCCTGTCACTCCACGGCTCCCTCGGGGTCCCCACAAGCATCACGTCGTTTTGCGCCTCCCTGCCTTCGCCCTGGCCAAGCCCTTGGCCTGTAATGCCCTCCCGTCCTTGGCCTTGCTGACTCCAGCTCACACTTCACCACTCAGCTCTGGCCCATGCCGGGATTCCAGGAAGCGTCTCTGACCTTTGTCCTTTGAGATCTCAGAATTCCTCGGATCCCCTCCCTCACAGCATTTATCACACAGTATTGTGATTGCCTATTACCCAGCGACTGTGACTTATTTAGCTTTTGATGTCTAGGACCTGGTCCAGACCTGGCACTAAGTAGGTGTCAAGAGGTGTTGAGTGAATGACTGAGTGAATGGCAGCCAGCCATCCACACGCAGAAACTGGTGCCAGGTCACTGAGGCTGTCCCACGCTGGCCTGGGCCAACCTATATGCAGAGGTGGAGAGGCCATCCATCGCTTGCGGCTCTCTTGGGCTGCCCAGCACTGGCCAACTCTCCACTGCAGGGAGACTGGGCTGCAGAAGTGGAGACTCTGCAGAATCTCAGGCTTCCACTGGCCAAGGCTTGTCCTCCCCGATTCTGTCTTAGGGGGCTTTAATTTTATTTTTACAAAATTAAAATATTTTAATTTTTTTTTATTATAAAAGAAATACATGCTTGTTGGGAAAAATTAAAACAACAGAGAGGAATATGAAATGAAGGATTGAAGCTCCTCTGGCAGTCCTGCCCCAAGAGAGGACCAGAGTGAACAATTTGGTAAAAGCCACTTGTTAGTCTACATGTTAGTATCTCATTCGTCCCACATTGCTTTGGGCTTCTTGAGCCTGCCTGCTTTTTTCTCTGGGTGTTCCCTAATGGAATGCTACTGAATAGTCTTGAAATCCACACACCCTCCTGCCCACTAGGAAAAGACAGCAAAATGGGTCGGAGGAAATTTTCCCTCTTTTCCTAGAGCTGCAGAAATTGAATCCTAGTCCACATGGCAGAACTGTCCTTGGGGCCGGCCCGGTGGCGCACTGGAGAGTGCGCCGCTTGAGAGCGCAGCGGCGCTCCCGCTGAGGGTTCGGATCCCATGTGGAGACCAGTTCCTGCTCACTGGCTGAGCGCGGTGCGGGCGCAACACCGAGGGTTGCGATCCCGTTACCGGTCAGTAAAAAAGACAAAAAGAAAAAAAAAAAAAAAAAGAACTGTCCTTACAAACGTTCCTTAAACAAAGGAGGCTGCGAGACCCCAGGCTTCAGGGATGGACGCCATGGCCTGTGAAGGAGGCCTTCTGTGGCCTGGAAGTCCGTAATTCTGATCGACTAAATTAGTACTTTGTGTCTGCTGAGAATGCCTCGAGTGACACCTGTGTCTTCTGACATGTGTGAATATTTGTGAGCTCTCTTTGTTAAGCCAACAGAGGACCGTTGGTGCTGCCCCTTCCTCCATGTGTGTGGACGTTAAAACCACCACTGGGGAATCTGACCAAGCATTCTGCTAGATGTCTTATCTGTCCAAAGACTTCAGAGTTTTCTCCTCATTTAAGTTAGGAAACACATATTGCATGTATGATTGTTTATATATATATTGTATGCTATCTAACATAAATATCCTGTTCCATCCCGCTTCGTTTTTCTTAGCCACATATGATGGATCTATTTTCATGTCAGTACGTATATGTAGGTCTGCCTCTCTCTTTATATTATTGCTGCTCCTTACACTATCTCACTCCTTAAACTGCCTTATTATTTATACTACCCGGCACAGGATTCCACTTTAAGGATACACCATGATTAATTTAGATAACCCCCTACCGATGGACATTTAAGTTGTTTTCATCTTTTGCGATTACAGAAAATGCTACGATGAGCGTCATTGTGCTTAGGTCTTTGCACAGTTGTCTAATTATTTCTCTACCATTCAACCCTAGAAGCAGGATTCCTGGGTCAGGGAATATGCATATCCAAATGCTGATATATTTGTCTGACTATCACATGAGTTTTAGGGAGGAGTCTGCCTCACGTGGAGCAGGGTAAGACCACCAACCAGCCAGACCTACTACCAACTTGCTGTGTGACCCTAGGTAAGTCCTTCTCTCCCCTTGTCTGACTATCACATGAGTTTTAGGGAGGAGTCTGCCTCACGTGGAGCAGGGTAAGGCCACCAACCAGCCAGACCTACTACCAACTTGCTGTGTGACCCTAGGTAAGTCCTTCTCTCCCTCTGGTCCTCTGCTGCCATTAGTGAAGGTAGAGATCTCTGAGGGTTGTTCCAGCTTTGATGTTCTGTGGTTCTGCCATGTCCAGTGACAGAGAAGGCTAAGGGCTGGTCAGAAGATGAAGGGGCAGGGTACTCACCCTCAGGTGGGTGCCAGAGATGGGGTCTGCAGTGACTGGCTTCCACTGGTCGGAGCCTTCCTCCTGGAAACTGATGCAGTAGCCCGTGACCGGCCCGGCCCCGGTGTACAGCGTGAAGGGGCAGGGTACTCACCCTCAGGTGGGTGCCAGAGATGGGGTCTGCAGTGACTGGCTTCCACTGGTTGGAGCCTTCCTCCTGGAAACTGATGCAGTAGCCCGTGACCGGCCCGGCCCCGGTGTACAGCGGGGGCTCCCACTGCAGCATCAGGGAGGTGGCCCGCACCTCAGACACCCGCACGTCGTACGGGGGGCCTGTGGGAGATGAGAGATGGGACAGAGATGTGGGAGTCAGGCAGCCAGGAAACAAGCCAGACAGTCGGCTGGCCAGCTGGCCAGACAGGCAGCAAGCCGAGTGGGCAGTTAGCAAACTTGTGAGTCTGTCAGTCACAAGCACTCCTGGAGTGCCCACCCTGGGTAGAGTGGAGAGCTGGCTGGCCTTGGCTTCATGACAAAGCTTGGCTCTGGGCCTGAAATAGGGTCAACTCTTCAAAAAGTGCTCAGCATCCCCTCCTTCTGGAAGCTTCCCTGACCTTCCATCCCCATCCCAGACAACATTAATCCTTCTGAAGTCTTTGCCATCTCAGTGTTTAGTGAAAGGGGTAAGGGTTTGGCCTCCAGAACTGGACCACTGGGATTCATGTCCTGGCTCCACCCTTGGTAGCCATTGGGCCTCTGGGCAAGTTACTTAACCTCTATGTTCCTGTCTCCTCATCTGTAAAATGGGGATAGTAATAGCTCTAGTGCTGTTGTGAGCATTAGTGAGATAATTTATGGAAAACTATTGGGACAATGTAAGTACCCAATAAATAGTAGCTGTTTATAATTGTCGTTGTCCAATGTGGCACGCACTGTCATTATCTGCCACTTGTGTAAAGATTTGTGTAGAAAACAGAACTGAGCTGAACAGAGTAATGGGAGGTTGTGATTGCCCCTTCCCCGGGGAAGGTGAGGGGTTCATTTGTGAGAAAGCTTCTGTGGTTGGGGGAGCAGTGCTTAGGGTGACCAACTGTCCCTGTTTGCCCAGGACCGAGGGGGTTCCTGGGATGTGGGACTTTCAGTGGTAAACTGGGAAAGTCTGGGGCAAACTGGGATGAGTTGGTCACCTAGTGGTGTGCCTTTGGGGTTTGAGATTAGTCTGTGGCCAGAATCAGAGCTGAGATGGTGTGTCCAGCTGGGGGATGGCTTGTACGGGGCTAGTTGATGGCCCGGGCCAGGAGTCCTCTAAGGCAGGGTTAACGCTCAGTCTGTGTTAGGAATTACAGGGTCAGCTGTGGAAGAATCAGGGGTCTTGGGTCTGGGACCAACAGAGCAAGCCTGCATGCGTAGACAGAAGGGTGGTGTTCATCTCACCGGTTAGATTTGGGGAGGGAAGGTGGGCAGGTGCTGGACTTCAGGCCTCTGGGCCTCTCACCTGGCTGGGGCATCGTCCACTCTTTGCACTCAAACAGGCTGCTGGGCTCCGACAGCTCGCCAACACCTGCCCAGTTGGCTGCCCGGGCACGGAACTCATAGAAGTGGCCTTCATGAAGGTCGCTGACCTTGAAGAGCAAGAACACAGACTGTGAAGGCCGAGGCTGGGGAAGGGCGGGGGAGGAGGTGCAGCCACAGGGGGAGAGATTCGGGGGGCTTGAAATAGGATTGTGCAAGCGGGTCAGCACTTGAACATCAGCTGGATGGTGGACACAGGGGAACCTGAGGCCTCTTTCAGACCCAGAGCCCCAATAGTGCCCTCCAATCCCGGCCTGCAGAAGTGATGCCACCAGGCTGCCATATTCCAGACTTACCTTGCAGACCCGGGCTGGGATGGGCTGCTGGTTGACCGGGTGCCAGTCCAGCTCCTCTGAGTCATGCTGATCCAGGAAGTAGCCCAGGATCTTGCCACCTCCACGACGCTTGGGGGGTTTCCATCCAATGACCATTTCATTTTTCCCACAGTTCAGGAGGACAAAACCATACGGGGCAGATGGGGTAGCTACAGGGAGGCAAGGAGATGAGGGCAGCTGCTCCCTAGGGGCAGCTAGGTTGGGCAGGGGTCCCTGGGTGAGCCAACCAGCCTCCCCTATGGGTGCCCACCCAGCTCCAGGGGGTACTCCTGAGCCCGCAGCATCTGCCCCCCAGAAGGCACCTGGGCCTCAGGTTTTGGGGCCTACCCCCTAGAGCTGACTGGGCCCCATCCCATGGCTGCAGGCCATCGTGACTTCCTCCCCAAAGGAAAGGGTGGTCAGGGTCAGCTCCAGTTCCCCGCCAGGGCTTATGCCCCTTTGGCTGCTGGGATCAGACCCGTCAAGATGTGGTCTGTAAGCCTTCAGCCCTCTGCCCAGCCCAGGGCTGTCTCCACCCAGGGGCTCACAGGCTGCACCTGCCCTTGGACTTACCCAGAGCCTGCTTGACCCTGATGGGTTCTGTGGCGGCTGAGCTCTCACCTACCCCGGCTTCGCTGACTGACCTGACGCAAAACTCGTAATCCTTCCCTGTCCTCAGCCCGGGAACCGTAAACCTGGGCGAGAAATATGCAGCCTGCAGGATTGGCCCAATAGCTGGAGACACTCCTGAACTTTCTAGAACAACCTTGTGGGACAAGTGCCCACCAGCATGATTGGATTTGGAGGTCCTAGGCCAGTTCTTACCTAAAAATATTGCCCCTGACCCCATAGTGATGCCTGAGATGGTATCATGGAAAATGTGGTTCTTAAGGTTTGAAAGGATGTTTGCGTTGCTGGAGCCACCACTAAAAGGCAAAAATGCTGGAAAAGGTGCCAATTTAAGGCAAAGACAGCTAACCCTGAGCCCGCACTACTTGGCACATCTTCAGGACTTTGTCCTTGAAAATGAACAAGTGGCTGTTATTATCTGCATGAAAGCTGTGATTCAAAAACTCGGAGTCCTTTTAAAGACCCTGAAGAGAATTGTCATCCAGAGATGTACGAGGACACTCTGGCTGGGAGAAAAGTGTCCTTCTCATCCTTTCCCTTCTTGACAACATCCAAATTGTGGACCTCTTTCTCCCTTTTCATTTATCAACATTTTCCTGTAGCAAATCTTGATCTGCAGGAGGAGTCCCGAGGACTTAAATGACACCAGGTGTTGGTGGATGACCGTGTCGAGCTCCCTGCTCAGGGACATGCAAATCTAAAGGGGAACATGCCTTTATGGGGGTGGGGGAGCTTTGAGGGGGATGGTGGTCAGGCAGCACCTGAACAGGTGAGGCTGGGGGAGACTCCCCAGACCAGCCTCTGTTGGCAACAGACGACAGTGGTGAGAGTGGCGGTAGCCACATGCGCTTGTCGCTTGTCTAGTGCTCACTTTACCTACATTAGCCAGGTGCTCGTCACAATAGCTCCGAGGGAGGCACTGTTACTTATCCCTGTTTTGGAGATGAGAACAAAGTGTTGAATGTTGGAATGCTGGCGGGGCCCTTGTGGATCAGACTGTCCAGGTTCCTCATGGTACAGGTAGGGAAGTGTCCCCACAGGAGGAGGGAGATGTGCCAAGAGCACACAGCCAATTAGGGACTGAGCCCGACCAGAGATAGGTCTCCTGAGCGTCAGTGCAGGGTCCGCCCACTCACCATCCGTCCATCCATTCATTCATTCACTCCTGTGAGCCAGGCTCTGTGGGGTCTGGTGGTTCGGCAGTGAACTGGACCAACCCTTTATGCCGTCACCCCACATGCCAGCTTCTGGGCTGCAGGGTTTAGCCTCCTTCCAGGCATGACCCATGTAACAGATGGCATGCACATGTGTAACAATTCCCTGGACATGCCAGAGGAACACGCCACGTGCCTCGTGTGACACGTTCCCTGCCATGCTGCTTCCTTCACGCCGACCCTCCCTCAGAGAAGCATATCCAAATGCGAGTGGGGGGAGAGGTCTTTTTCTAGGGATAACCTTGACTGAGCTAATTTGTAAAAAACGTGGTTATTCTGTGACTTGGGAACTTTATCTCTTATCAGTAACAGGTTATGAGTTACCCCTGGCAGCTGACTGTGAGGCACCAAAGACCAACAGGGCACAGAGGCTTCCTTTTTCTGGGTGAGATGACCTTGGGGCTTGTGGCTGAGGGTGAGGGGAGTCCAGCCGGGTGTGCTTGGGGCCTGGGCAGTCGTTCAGTGAAAAGGAGGGAGAGTATCATCCCTTAAACCCCCTATCCTGCAGAGCCTCAATATCGAGATGTCGTGAGCCCAGAAGCCACAAGACTCACTGCCTGCAAGGACGAGGGTCTTTGAGGGCCACAGGGTAGGAGGGAGCCTCAGAACAGAGTCGAAGTTGGAAAA